ACCTGCTTGCACTCGACTCTTTCAGCACACTGGACATTATCATAATATGCATCAACGTCCAATACTAAGACAGGTACGATGCACTGGTCTTAGTGTTAATATGTCACGAGATCAACGAAGATTTTGAAAATTTTATCAAAATATTTACCACTGTCACCATGAATGTAAATCAAGTAAAAATAAGCATCGTCTGACTGTTGCAATGTTATTTTCCTTCAGTGTATTTATATTATAAATTAAATCGAGTTGTCCCTTTCTTTCTTTCTTTCTTTCTTTCTTTCTAAGAGTAATCCCGTCTATCTCTTTTACTTTCTTTCTATCTTTCTTGTTTTTAATTCTTTCTCTTCGTTCGTTCGTTTTCTCTTTCTGCGATTCTGTCTTTCTTGTTTTTTAAATTGTTTGTTTGTTTGTTTGGTCTTTCTTTCTTTCTTTCTTTCTTTCTTTCTTTCTAAGAATAATCCCGTCTATCTCTTTTACTTTCTTTCTGTCTTTCCTTTTTTAATCCTTTCTCTCTTTCATTCTTTCTTTCTTCTTTCGTTCATTCGTTTTATTTTTCCGCGATTCTATCTTTCTTGTTTTTAAATTCTTTCTTTGTTTGTTTCTTTTTTTCGTTTGTTTGTTCTGTCTTTCTGCGCGATTCTGTCCTCCTTTTTTTTTTAATTCTTTGTTTGTTTGTTTCTTTCTTTCTTTTGTTCGTTCGGTTTTTCTTCGATTCTGTCTTTCTTGTATTTAAATTATTTGTTTGTTTGTTTGTTTGTTTCTTTCTTTCTTTCTTTCTAAGAATAATCACCTTCTATCTCTTTTACTTTCTTTCTGTCTTTCTTTTATAATTCTTTCTTTCTTTCGTTCTTTCTTTCTTCTTTCGTTCATTCGTTCTATCTTTCTGCAATTCTTTCTTGTTTTGAAATTCTTTGTTTGTTTCTTTGTTTCTAAGTTTACTTTCTTTCTGTCTTTCTTTTTTTAATTCTTTCTTTCTTTTTTCTTTCTTTCTTTCTTTCATTCTTTCTTTCTTCTTTCGTTCGTTTGTTCTCTCTTTCTGCGATTCTATCTTTCTTGTTTTTAAATTTTTTGCTTGTTTGTTTGTTTCTTTTCTCTTTCTTTCTTTCTTTCTTTATTTCTTTCTTTCTTTCTAAGAGAAATATCGTCTATCTCTTTTACTTTCTTTCTGTCTTTCTTTTATAATTCTTTCTTTCTTTCTTTCTTTCTTGTTTCGTTCGCTCTCTCTTTCTGCGATTCTATCTTTCTTGTTTTTAAATTCTTTGTTTCTTTCTTTTTTTCTTTCTTTCTTTTTTTCTTTCGTTTGTTCATTCTGTCTTCCTTGTTTTTAAATTCTTTCTTTCTTTCCAACATTGATTCCGTCTGTCTGTCTGAATTTCTTTTTCTTTCTTTGACTCCATGGTTCTGTCTCTCTCTTTCTTTCTAACTTTAATTCCGTTATTCTTTTTGCTCTCTCTCCCTCTCTCTCCCCCCTCTCTCTCTCTCTCTCTCAAATACACATACACACACTCACTCTCTTTCTTTAACTGTTTCTAACTTTGATTCCGTTTTTTTTTCTTTTCTTTTTTTCTTTCTTTGACTTCGTCATTCTTTTTCTTCTTTCTTTTTTTTCTTTCTTTTTACATATGCGCCTCAGTGAGTTTATATTACTCTGTTAATGTAAATAGAAGTACATATCTATACCCGCATCTCAAAAGCGTTATTTATTTATTTATTTTGCTGAGGGGTAAGGAGGGATAAAAAAAAACCGGCCCCTTCGTTTATAAAACTCGATCCCTGATTTTAGAATTGCCGATAAGGTCGCCCTTACAAGGCCGTCTGTGTGGGTGTTCGTCGAAGGGAAAAGGAATCCGTTTCTTATTGCGTGATGTATACCTGATACCAACCAAATGTTCTAAGGCTCCTCTTTATTCTTGCGACTTTCAGGTTTCGACATTATCATTGGAACGAATCTGAGAAACGAATGCATTGATGGAGAGGCGCCACGACATTTTTAGAATGAATGACCTTTTTTTTCATTCAGCAACCCGAAAGATAAGAGAGAATTTCATTACTTGCTTCGCGGGTTCAGTTCAAGTCTCTTGGCCCTGTCTTCCTTGAGATGAATAAACAGATAGACTGATAGCTAAGCTAGTTGTATAGCTATTTCCAAGTCTGGCATAAGGCCCGCAAGTTTTAGGAATACTCCAAAATTTGTCTCGGTATTCTAGCTGATTTTAGTGCCTATATCGTCTCATGTCAATCAGTGGGAAAACTTTTTCTTTTCACTTTTCGCCAGTGATGTCTGGGCGATTTAGTTGTATTGTTCGATATATGTTGATGGAAACGTCCCTGAGGATAGTAACATCAGTTCCCTCAGCTATGGATTTAGAATGAATGATGTTCAAACCAGTTTGTAGTTGTTTTTATCCCGTAGTAATGACAGATCTTCCAATACAGATATTGACCTACCCTGTCATAACGGATATCGTGCTCATTGGATGTGAGTATTGAGCATCAGGTGATCAATAAATTCAATGTATTGATCACAGAAACTACATTTTGAGTTCGTAATATTATGCAAGATATCAGATTGGTGACTGCGTGTAATCTGTCTCTGGTCCTGTGCAGCAAGATTAAACTCTTCACTCTCAAGCTTCAGCCCTGGACTCTTTAGAGACTGCTAGGTTGCGAATTGATCTATATCAGCATATTTGACGCAGAGAAGGTAACTGGCTATGTAGATACATTGCTCTCCAGTTTTCTTCTATTTGCTTTTAATCGAGCTTTTTCGCTTCTTGTTTCAGTTTCCATAGGTTAAAACAGAAACTTCTAGTTTGTGAAGATACTGTTGGCTTACCATATCATTTTTTTATGTAGTTATTTACAAAATACACATCACTGTGCTTTGACTTCGCGATTGATTTTGAATGTCCGAAGCATAATCTCAAATACCAATTGCCCATAATAGATGGGCGACACACGATATACTGAAAAATCATGTTCCGCCCCTCACTACAGAAAAAAAGTTTTCCCAAACCATTTATAGAAGATAATGATTTTTAAGGCAAGCATTCGTTGACGACAGATCGTCTGTTGTAGATATTGACCTACCCTGTCATGTTTTTGTACTTATTGGATATTAGTATTGAGGAAAAGGTGATCAATAAATTCAATGCATTTGTCACAGAAACTACGTTTTGAGTCCATACTATTATGCAAAATATTAGATTGATAATTACAATCGGTTTCTGGTCTGTGCAGCAAGAATAAACCCTTATGCCTCCCCCTTGAGCCTTGAACTCCTTAACCACTGATTGGTTGCCAATTAGAGGGACTTTGGGGGGGGCAGCTTTCTTTTATTTGCTTTTAGTTTAGCTTTTTCGCTTCTTCTTACAGTTTTAATAACACTTAAAACAAAATCTTCTGGTTTGTGCATATACTGTTGTCTTACCTTATCATTTGTGCAATTGTCACTGGTTCACCATTCCTACCAAGTTATGTCTGCATTAATAATATAAGTATTAACACAAAGAAAACCAAAAATAGTGCTTACCTAGACGCCTTGATATCATGCCTGTTGATCATATCCTATGTGGGATTTTAAAATCTAAAAATGAATGCTCATCAAACTCTATTTTCTGTTACTATTTTCTTTCTTTAGCTGAGAATATATATATATCGAGTCTAGTCCGCTATCACTTCGTCACCGAGGCCCGTTAGTACAGTTGGCATGACGTTTGCCTGTCACTGTAACTGTCCGGGTTTCAATTCTCGGTCGTGGATGCGCACTGCTGATGAGTCCCAAATATAGTACGAAACGGCCGTCCAGTGCTTTCTGCATTCTGTTGAGGTTTCTTCTACACTCGATGAATTACTTGATTATCTCAAATCCTCCTTAATTTCTATCATTTATATATATAAATGATATATATACGTGTATGTGTTGCTTGAAGATTGCGGTTAAGCATGAAACAGACGGCCGCAGCTTTGTGCTGATCTCAGTGCCTACTTTTATATTTACATACACTTTCTCTCTGATACTGAACACTTTAAACCATAAATATAGTATACCTTAAAACCATATTTTATCAAATATATATAGAGAGAGAGTAGATAAGTTGGTCAATAAAACAAAGTCAAATTAAAGGGTACTAATGAAATCAGTACGAAAAACATTTATTAATATTAACCAGGTGACAAAAATGAAGCACGGAGATTGAGGTTCCAAGTTCGGAATTTTCGAACACGACTGTGTTCTTTATCAGCGGATGCGAGAAATAAACTGAGGGACTGTGGAAACTATCCAACATTAGTTTTTTGATATATATTATGGACACTTTTCAGCTGTTAAAAGAGAAAATAATTAATAAATTACTTTCCCTTTTAATTAAAGAGTATATTATTTTAATTTCTAATTCCCTTTGCATGTCCGCTTGAGGCAGACGCACCGTGCACCTCTGTTCATAAATGGGGGTAGCGATCGAGCATCATAGGCGGGTTTTTTTTCTAATCTGAAGGATAAGGTAGCCAAGATGACTAACGCACTTTTAATAAATTACTAAATTGCTTTTTCTTTTAATTAAAACTGCATTCTTTAAGTTTTTTCCTGTGTTGTTGTTGTTGCTGTATGCGGCCTTTCGTTGTCATGGAAGATAACAGCACATTTTCTATTGACGAACGCGAAGCGCATTTAAAACCAACTTTATGGGCACGTTGCAGCTGCTGGACGTATAAATGTACATTTAATGTTTCGTTGTCTTTCAAGAATTCTAAATGATTAATACCCCGACGATCCCACCACTCGTACAACATTACCTTTTTTTCATGGAGCTTTCGATGTCGGTTGTGGAGATTTAACCTGCCTTTTGTGTTGAACATTGCACACCAAAGTTATTCTTAAATTCCACGTCTGATTACTTTTTGACTCAACCTAATGCATAAACTTTATAAATATATGTCATAACTTTCAGAAATTTTACTGACAGCGAATGACTGAGAGAATGCCTTGGTATATTTTGCAGGAATGGCCGGGAAAGACCTTTTCAGCGAAGCATGGGCTGATTACATTGTGGAAACTTTCGATGATTTGCACGTGGAATTCGGTAAAACCCTGAATGAAAAAGATGAACAGAAAAAGGTCAGCGAGATTTTTTGGTCTATTTTATTTATTTATTTATTTATTACTTTCTTTGATTTCCTCTCTCTCTCTCTCTCTCTCTCTCTCTCTCACTCACTCTCTCCTTCTCTCTCTCTCTCTCTCTCTCTCTCTCTCATGCGCCGCGCACACACACACAGACACACACATAGACACACACAGCTAGGTCTCACCATTTTACCGTTGAACTAACTAGACCCAACTGTATGTTTGATTATAATAGGTTACTTTCTAGCACTTCTCACCTGCGGAATTGCGATTTTTGGCTTCCCTGCCACCTACACTTTTCAAAATTTTAAATGCAAGGCCAATCGCCATCTTCCGTCTTCCTGAAACCTGTTCTTTTATTGTCCTTTCTTCTCACTAAATTTTTCTCATTCTCTTCCCCATTGTGTCCTAATGACATTATCGCCTTACTTTGGGGTGATATGATTAAAAAAAGACATCCCTTCTTTGTTAAACATTCTTCTCTTGTGATACAGTTATACACACATTGAAACTAAATTATATAAATGCAAGTGAGTAATTGAATGACAAAATTAAAAAATACGGTACGCAGGATCGCCTTCGGGCTAATAAGAGTTTTATGGAGGATTCCGTATATATATATATATATATATATATATATATATATATATATATATGATGCAAAACTCTTCTATGAATCGAGCACTCTGAGTCACTGGCGTGTTTATTCAAAATAAATACATAAACATTCACCTTCTCAACCGAATCAGTCGTGTGTTTCGATCCTGGCTTGAGGCAGTCGGATGTCTAGCCATACTGATGAGCTGCGATACAGCGAAACAGTCTGTTTGTGGATGACTATATATATATATATATATATATATATATATATATATATATATATGTTTTGGGTGCGACTTAAGTTTTTTTGCTTACCATCTCAGTTATATTTCGTGCCTGATGAGTTGGTAAACAACGAAACTTAAGTTGCACCCCAAACGTAGGTATATGTATATTTATTAATATATATTTCTTAGCTCTGTCTAACCAAACCAAGCACTGTTATGTTTACACCTCTAAGTAAATTTGGTAAATATTTATTTTCTTACCTCTGTTTGCACGCTAGTGCGCGCATATACGGTTGCTAATCTCTAGTTATTTGATTTACCCACCTCTCTCTCTCTCTCTCTCTCTCTCTATATATATATATATATATATATATATATATATATATATAAACGTATAGGCGCGTGCACACATTTTGCACACATTTTCAATATAAATAACATACATAAACAGATAAGAAAATTTATATATATTTAATTCATGATGCAAACAACACACTACTCAATGTAGTTAAACAGAGCTATGAAGTATATATTAATAAATACACATATACCTACGTTTGCAGTGCAACTTAGTTTCATGGTTTCCCAAGTCGTCAGGCACGTATGGCAAAAGGGCCGCTTATTACAGTTGTTTTTTTTTTTTAAATACAGGATCACATGGGAGGGACGCTAAATTATAGGAAGATTCAAAGTTAATATAAACCCAATATATTATTTGGGTGTAAATTCAAAATATAGAGTGCAGGTAGGGAGATCGAGCTGCTGCTTTGTGGAACTGACTCCAAAAATGATAACTACGATCTTAACCTGTTCAATTCTAGGATTAACCATTATCATTCCCCACCACATATCCTCATAAACTGCGTCTTTTACTCTGTAACTCTGTTGTCTCTTGAGTCCTTGTAAAAAATCATTGTAAAAAAAAAATAAATAAATAAATAAAAGGCTGGTGTAAAAGTACAGCAAATTCCGGTAACATTTTTGCATCGAGAATGTCGAAGATACAAAAACGCTGAGATTTAAGTTTGTCTTCTTTTTACATTATTCGGACTATTGTCCTCATCTTTGTCGCCATATTTATTACAACGTTTTGGCCGTTGTACGCTCCGGCCTTTTTCAGAGGTGTTTTGAATGTCGAACTGAACCCTTTATTTCTCTCACTGGGGTAGAATGATCTAGTTCCACATGCCATGTTTAATGGATGTCAGTTATCAGTTTTAATTCCCCTCTCCAAGTTCTCCACTGCCTTAAGCAGCTATTGAACTCACACTCTTTGGGTCCTGTCACTGGATCTAACCAACGCCTTTATCCTCTGTGCCATGTGTCCTTGAGGAAGAAGACCGGAGCGTACAACGACCGAAACGTTGTAATAAATATGGCGACAAAGATGAGGTCAATAGTCCGAATCATGTAAATAGTGGGCATAATACCTCATCTCAGAAATATAGACTGATATTTTCTTCTTTTTTTTTTTTTTTTTTTAAATTTTTAGCGTCCGAATTATCTAGATGCCTAACTTTACCGCCCTCATTGAGCTCCCTGTCCCTTTTCGTTTTTAAATATCAAACATAATAAAGCATAAGATATATGCTATATGAAGCAGGCGATACACTTACCAAAAAAGATTCCGAAATTAGCGCATTTTCAATGAATTAATAAATGACTTTTTTCTCTTTTCATTAAAAAGTGCGCTTATTTTGACTCCCAAATCACCTTGGCATGTCCTTTAGAGGCAAATGCACCGGGCACCTCTGTTCATAAGCAGTAGTAGTGAGAGACCATCATAATTTTTTTTTTGTTTTTTTTAGTTTGAAGGGTGAGACAGCCAAGGTGACATGGGAGTCGAAATTATCACACTTTCAATATATTAATAAATTACTCTATCTTTTAATAAAAAAGTGCGCTAATTTTGGCTCCCAAGTGAGCTTGTCATGTTCCCGAGCGGCAGACGCACCCTACGCCGCTGTTCATAAGAGGGAGTAGTGAGGGGGTATCATAGCCTTTATTTTAGTGTGTGAAGGGTAAGACAGCTAAGGTGACTTGGGAGTGGATATTAGCACACTTTCAATAAATTAATAAATTACCCTATCTTTTAATAAGTGCGCTTATTTAGAATCCAGTGTCTGATTGGCATGTCCCCTCGAGGCAGACGCAACCTAAACCTCCGTTCAGAACCGGGAGTATTGAGTGAGTAACATGACGTTTTTTAAGTTTGAAGGATAAGGCAGCTCAGGTGACTTGGGAGCCGAAGCGCGCTAGAATATCTAACTAGGCTGTGCTTGCTAGTTTATACGATCCTTTTATCGTCGCCATGTCATGCACATTTTGCCTTGAGGCGTGTGCTTGGAATAACCCTTTTACGTGTCATGATGGGTATTTTGGCATTGTATATTTGTGAAATTTGAACGGGCATTGGAATAGCGAAAGGCGCCCTCCTAAAACTAAGCAAAATATTAAGCAAAAGGAAAATCTCATTAAAAACAAGGAAAAAATTGTTTAAATTTTATATAACATTGACGCATATTAATGGGAGTGAATGCAAGACAACCTCCTCGCTGATGAAGAGAAAACTGGAAAACGGAAATGTCGTTCTACAGAAAGATTCTGCGAATACCATGAACGGGGGGGGGGAGTAACGAGAAAGTCTTCAAGAAAATGCAAACAAAAAAGGACGCCTAGAATCAGAAAGAGACAGTTGGAATTTTTTTTGACACATAATGAAGAAAGAAGGCTTGGAGAATTTGACACTCACTATAATATTGAATACAAAATTGACAGGGGGGTAGTGGTCCACCTACCTGACGATTTTATATATGAAGCATTAGAGTCACATTGTTATCGTGTTGCATTGCCACTCATTATTATTATTATTATTATTATTATTATTAATAATAATAATAATAATAATAATAATCCAAGCGAGAGTTACCAAAATCTATCGAGAGGTGGAGAGCCAATGCAGTGCCTGGAAGTTAGCCAATGTTCCTGAAACCAGTTTCATGTTACATGTTTCATGTTACCCCATCAATCACCACCAAGAAACAGGATGCACATAAAGAGGCGAAATGGTCGATCTGTCTGTCTGTCTGTCTGTCACACATGTTAAGAAGAATTCCAGTTTCACTCATGATTCGTGTGGATTCCAACAGATTACATCTCCAAGCATTACAGAATCAAAGACAGCTTGCATAACATCCTACTGAAAGGCAACTTACATCTATCTCCTCCATATATTATCTCAACCATTTGAACGAAAGTGCTGCCAACGTACCTTATCTGACCAGGCAATACGCCTCTGGCATTCCACACTCTAATAGCGATATACTCTCTCCAATGGTACAGTAACCAATGCTGTGGTGTCAGTAATAAGACTCTGCTCTGGCATGCAATGTACGCGTTGATCAATGGCTTAAATGATATCAGCATTGATTTGGAATCTGATTTGATTCAATGTCCCTCGTCGTTGATTGGTAACCTTCCTTGTCAATCGCTGGCAATCACATTCTGACACGTGTGGGCGCCTGCAATTTTCACGTGTTCCTGATGTCAGTGCTAAATAATACTGGCATACCCTCGCTTCTTTTGCCTGAGAAAATAAGGACAATTGCTATCTCGGAGATAGAATACATCTTTTTTCTGGCGCCAACAATCACTTCAGGGTCAACTCCTGTAAGCCTGCCACAACTACATTAGCATAACTTCACTGCCTCTTTACATATTACGTGATGGTGGCTGGCAGCTTGTATCCGGATATGCTTGTCTAGTAGGTCGGTTAGCCAATCTCTGTTGTAGACGCCTACTCAGGCACATTTGTGTTAGTTCAACACACACATCTAGCCGTTTCAACAGTAAAATGAGACCTTATCACCAATCCTGCAGTAGGCTTAAATTCATAAAGTACCAAAGAGGAAAGCACATCAAAACTCAAAATTTTGTTATCTCCTTGATCTTCTAATTTTCTTGGCAAGGACCCACCATGTGACTTACATATTAGCAAACCACATACATTGCCTCCGTGTTTCATAGGTGAGAAGTAGTACCACTCGAACAGCTTCTTACCACGAACCACTTCTCTGTAGAACAGCCTCCCAAGAGAATGTTTCCACGATCACTATAATCTTAACCTGATCAAGTCCACCTGTGGTTTATACTTCAACTATGCCAAGT